AGACTATATACAAAAACAGAAGGGGGAAGAAAAGGACCCCCAGATGAGGCTCAATAAAGTTCTTTTTACTTTAAATTATCTCTGCCTGATGGGGGATAGGGAGGAACCACCAATTATAATTCACCATCAGAGTCTAAAATTTAATCAACAAACTCTTATCCCAAATTTAAAAGTAATCTACCGGGATCCTGCCACGGGCCAATGGCTGGGCCCTGTACCTGTAATCTTTAGTGGAAGGGGATATATGTGTGTTTCTACAGGTAATGGACCGGTCTGGGTGCCCAGCAGATCCGTGAAGCCTGTGTTATCGTCAGGACAAAGAGAATCAGAGGACCCATAACCGCAGAACTTAGCTCATGTGATGAGCTTCCCAAAAACGGTGATAAAAGATAAGTTGTTTAGAGTGCCTACGGTGTGTACCGTGGGTATTGTGTCAGTGCTACCGTAGTGCTACCGTTGTGATAAAAAGTGGTGGGCCCGGTGCACGCGCGCACAAAGGTGGTGTGAAACCTGCTATCTGAAAGAAATAGCGCTGTATAGAATATTAATAACCACTGGACACGAAGTAGTTAATACGCCTGCTTTCACTGAGAGTAGCCATAAGTGGATTAGCTCAGTCCACGAAAATGCCAAATTGATTATTGTTTGTGGGATTGAACGTAAAAAGAGAAACCTAGTACCGGAGTTGTGGGACGTGCCTGCAGAACGATGGGAAACAACGAAGATCCAATGTCAAAGACGATTCGCCTGGAAGGGAAAACGGTGAGCCGGGCAGATGTGATCGTAATTGGGCTAATCTTAATAATTCCAGGGTCGGCAACTATACATCGCATTGACCCTAGAGAAAATATGTGGGTAACCTGGGCAAATAAAACAGGGCAGCCCACGTTTTGCCTTTCCCTTGCCTCAGCAACTGAGCCGTTTAGGACCTGTTTGTTAGGTATGCCTGGATATAAGGAGGGTGACTTTGCCGGGTTCAGTAATGGCAGCTGTACTAATGTGACTGCAACTAGCAACTGTAGTGCTGAATTGATAAAAGGGTTAAATCACTCGCTACCCTGGGATCCCCAGGAATTGGAACTGTTGGGGTCGATGCGAGTTGGAAATACATCTGGAAATTGGACTCAGACATGTTTTATATTTGGGGGACCCCTACAGACGGGTATCCAGGTCTATCAGGCAAGAAATTGGACAGGGTGGACTAATCAACCGCACCTCCCTCCCAATCAAGCACTGCTTTTTCTGTAAAGGAATTCACTAAAAGCTGCTCTCAGTCAGCAAACACCTTCCACGCCTGAAGAATGCTCATCTGCTCAGCAATATTAAGAATTTGCTGTGAAAGAGGATTAAAGAAGCAACTACCTCTAATATGAATAACGGGAGTCTTCAAGACTGAAAACTGATCACTGAAATGACTTCATGGCTGAAAACAGCGCCTGAAAACGGATCTCAGCTTACAGCAGAGACTAGGAATACTTTCACTGATGAAAGATCAAACACATGTGGTGTTAACATACCCCTTTGTGCTAGAGAGCAATGACATGCACACCATTCAGGTACCGATTGAACTCACAGAATTGCATTAAAGGTACATGGTTGTCAATGAATGACTGGCAGGCAAAAACCTGATGTAAGAGCAAATCAGGAAAATCTTACCAGGGAATCCCTGAGAAAGATAAAGATTGGGTTTTTTTTTTAGGAAGGTTATGTAAATATATTGAGCGATTACTCCCCGTTGAGCTATTACTCCCTGTACAATTGGCTTAAGGCAATTACAATCCAACATGAAACCTAATCTGCATGTAGACTCAATTCAATAATCCAAAATCGTGTTCAACAACATTTGTTAGCGCATACAGTCCCACTGAAAATCCTTGAGAAATGACTGTACAACTTACATTGTACATTTGTGTCATACAGATATGTGGAGGAGTGGCTGATACAGCAGGGGCACGATCTAGTGCCCCTGAGCAACCCATGTTTTGAGCAGTAGTAGGGCTGTGCTGATGAAGACTGCTGACAACCTTGACCGCCCTTCACTGGGCAGAAGAAGGAACCTCGCCAGCAGATAAACAACAAAAGCGGAACAACAACCGGGATGCGGAAGAAGCAAGGGTCGGCGTGGCCAGCCTGCAGCGTCCCCTGAGAAGAGGGTTGTGAGCGCGTGAACGGTTGTAGTTAAACAATTATAGGTTGTTATGAAGCACGTGTCCATGGTAGATAACTATATAAACCCTGTTGTAAGTATGAATAAAGGAGAATGATCATACCCATATTGGGATCTGTCGTTACTCCGGATTCGCAACTCCCGCTCCGCCGTCAACACCGATCCAAGTAAACTCTGACAGTTACACCCCATACTCCTACTGTGAACATGTCCAGGAGAGGAGGAGCTGACTGTTTCCATGCAAATTTGATGTGGTGGCCTTACCTGGGCATATAAACTCTACGTGTGTTTACTGATGTGCAAGTTGGTGCATCTGTAAAAGCAGAAACAAGCTGGTGCTGCTGCGGGGTGTACGCGTGGAGGAGAGGGCTTCAAAAGTCTTCTGTAGAATGATTCAAGTTAAACAATACATACAGAAAACAGCACCTCCATCCTCAGTTCTGAGGTTATAGGCCATCCCTTTTTCCAGCAAGGCCAGCATAGCTAAACTTCAATTTTTTTAATTTTCTTTTTAGACGAACTTTGTGTAATGTTTTCTTATCACTCTGGGAACCCTGGCTTATCTTTTAAGAGCAGAGGATCCTAAGTATGGGCAATTGTGAAGTGATTTGGACTTTTGGTGATGTATTTTGACTTTTTCCTTTTTGTTTCTTTCATTTAAAATCTCTCTGGTAGAAAACATCTTTGTTAAGTGGCATATTCTAGACCTTTCTATTCAAGATGTTGGGTTTCAGTGTTTATGGATGGTGAACCTACAGCCAGAAGAAACCTAAGGTTACATTGATAGATGATTACTGCTATCGTGCCTAAATGAACAAAATGTACCATCAGTTGCACGGTTTCTCCTTTATACGGTTCATCTAACTTAAATATACAGTATATGCAGTTGTATACTTCATCTTTTTTTGTGGTTTTCTGTAACTGCTATTTCAATGTCAATTTAAAGCAAATCCTATGATGCAATATAGTCGCTTCCCAAAACTGAAGGACCTATTGCACACCCTTGCAATTACCTGCAGAAAGTCTACGTTGAAGCCTGTCTTATTGTCCCTCTGCCAACCCGCAGTGAAGAGGCTGCTGGATGGCTTTCTGGCTTACTGTCTGTCTCTGCAGCTGTCTAGGTTCCAATTTTATATGAATTACTGTTTCTAATGTTATATGAATAAATAATGCTCTTCACCCACAACTGTAACATAAGCTGTAAGTCATGATATGTTAGAAAGATATCAGACCTTTATGACCAGTAGAAGTTCTTTCTTCTCTACTGGAGAGGAGATAAATGTTTTGAAAAAGGTAGTTTGATCTGTATTGTTTGGAATGCAAAAATTTCCATTCCCCTCCATAGCTGCGTGCCTCTCCGAGATCCTTTCAGTGTCTAGAGGCTCTCCCACCCTTCTGATGTTCTGTATCATTCCTCTCTAACAAGCTTGATGTTTCCTTACTCTTGCAGAAGAAAATGCAGAAATTACCCTGGATGTGTCATTAGCGTATCGCGATGACGTGTTTGATGATTGGGAAGAAATAGCACATGCAATAGAGATCAGGAAGCTGAAATGCACCTTTGGCTCACCAAAAGTAAGGTGTTTCGATGATGCTGGAGGTGGGGAGGTGTGGGAGTGTGGTGGGAGTTGTCCTCTTCCTTTCCTTCTTTGTGCTTCCTAGAAGTTCCGAGTTGTTCAATCATAACTTTCAAACGTGTCAGCTTTTTCTTGGCTCAAAAATCTTTGAAAACCTGATGAGCTCCACATGCAAGTGGTTCTGTTTGGTGACAGAAGAGAAGGGGAGGAAGTCAAAGGTAGACTTAAAACGGTAAGGAAGAAAAGGTGTGAGGTCAACACACAGATCCAGGTGCAAGGAGAATTGTCCCCTGCAGTTGTGATCAGGCTAGAACTTGAATGCTTTGAGATCTGTATACCCCTAAACCATCCTAGAGAACTTGGACCTTTCCATCTTGTGCTTCTGTGATGGCCAAAACCTTGTTTTTCAGGAGTGGCGAGGAAATAGCCCACCAGGGACACTTGCAGCACTCAAAGAACCTGGAGAGGTGGGGCAAGAGTTCTTAAAATAACTTCTTAATGCCTCAAGCTACAAAGCTTAGGAGCAGAGAGCACAGCTAGCAGTTGAGAACAGAGCATCTTGTTTAAATAAAGATGTTTCTTTTTGTGCTGCAGACCATAATTCCTGTGCTTAAATTAATCTGGTGTTTCTCTACCATGCCACGTTTTTCAGTTCTGTGTCTTGTTCTCCCATTTCACGGTCCCTTTCAGCAACCCTCTTATGTCTCCAGTAACACCCGTACTCTTCCATACAGCCACATATACGCAGTAAATACATATGAGGTGCGGAGGAGAGTATTGCTAGTAAAACAGGACTTAAGAAACTCCACATCAAGACACGTGTAAGAGGGTTGTGTATTTTGGTTTTGCTCAAGTTGTGCTTGCTGAGGGAGGAAGCTTGTATCCCAAAGTAGCCTTTCATCTTGAAAGTCTCCCTTAACTTTAAATGTATTTAAGAGCCTGAGACGTGAACCTGCTTGAGGTCAAACATTATTGACTCAATAACCCAAAACAATCAAAAACTTCAGGAAAAGTGTCCCAAAACTGCTGAAGTTCTCCAGACTTGCACAGACACTCCCCAGGCAAAGGTTAGAATTAGCAGACAGGCTCTTGGTGCTAGCAATGGTCCTGGCTATGTTCAGCATTAGGGCTTTTGCAGACCCTCACCGTGGAGGGCGTGCTGGTCTGTCCGAGGCTGACTGCTGTCTTGCTGCTCTGTGCCCTTTTGCTAGACCCTGGAATCTGAAGGCCGTCACTATGACTGTGACTTCCTTCCCTTCATGGAGATCGGCAGCGTGGCTCACAAGTACTATCTCATCAACATCCGTCTCCCCGTGAATGAGAGGAAGGGCATTAACGTGGGCATTGGGGAAATCAAGGATATCCGTTTTGTGGTAAGTGTCCATCTTGCTTCTGTCTGCGCTCACCGCCTCCCAGGAGAGCGGCTGTGCCCTGCAATGCTGCAGTCAGCAAGGGCATCTCCCCTGGGGCTGCTGCAGCTCATTTCTTGATCTCCTCTTTGATCCACAGCAAACATCCTACTCTTCATCACGGGTAGCTCCTGCCTGCAAATGTGCCTTTCTTCCTTCCTGAGGGATGCCTTCTTTGACTGCTCTCTTCTGAGGAGCCCTCCCCAAGCCTTGAGCAGTGCCACCCTCCTGCACTGCCCGGTGACCACCTCCAGAGCTGGGCTCTTCCCATGGCTCCAAGAGCTCCCCTCTGTCCTCTCCTCCCTGCTGCAGTCTGTCTCAGACGCAGAGTCCTCCACCTGATTAAGCCCTGCCTCTCGCAGATAGGAGTGGAGGAGGAACAGAACACCAGGGTTCAGGGGGGACCTGGTCTGTCTTGCAGTTGGCCATCACCACGCAGATGTTTGGGATGGCTGTCAGCTATCCCTGCTCTTGCCCTCCCTTGAACCTTGGTGGCTATGGGTGCTTTTCCCAGCTGGAAAACCTCCCACCACCGTCCCTCTCAGCAGAAGCAGCAAGCCAACCAGCTGTGGTGGCTGCAGATGGTGGTGGGAGGGCATGTGTCTGGAGAAATGCATTAATTTGGCTGATGCATTTCCCACCAGTGGTGACCTCGTTTCATGAGTATCTTGTTACTTGTCTGAGAGCAATTCTGCCAGTTTACTCCACGCTGTGTCAGAGTGCCCCTCTCTCGACTGCTCTCTACCTCGCAACGGAAGCTGCATGTGTTGGTATTTGTTTTAAGAACTTTTGAAGGTTCCTTAGATGGCCTGGGCGCTAAGTAGGCACCTGCTCCCTTTCCTGTGTTGGGCAAACCGCATCTTTCAAAGAGTAGTTGCATCTACATATGCTTACGTATACTGCCATGTACGTGCCTCTCCTGTCAGCTCCTGTAAGGAGAAGCACAGAGTAATGATGTTAAACCCTGTACAGCTCTTGCATTCCACCTTGGTTTTCCTTAGGGCATCCATCAAAACGGAGGCTTTACAAAAGTGTGGTTTGCCATGAAGACCTTCCTCACCCCCAGCATTTTAATTATCATGGTCTGGTACTGGAGACGGATCACGCTGATGACACGCGCTCCTGTCCTGCTGGAGAAGTGAGTAGGGGCTCACATGCTGGGTAAGGTGACCCTCAAGCAAGAGGACCCTGACAGAGGTGGTCACTGCTCCCAGGCAGAGCCCATGTTTGGGGAGGCAGGGATAGTCTCTTCTCTGTCCCCTCCCTCCACCCAGGCACACTGGGAGCAGGAAACATCCATAGCTTCTCTTTTCTTTCCCGTTAAACCCATAGAGAATGAGTAGCTGCATTTGCCTGCAGCTGCTCGGAGAGGCCTAGCCCCAGAGGGTTTGCTGGCAGGAGGTGATGCCCCACTGCCACTGCCCAAACAGCGCCAGATTTCCTTCTGTTGCTCTTCATGCACAGCTTTGGCTTCTGGGCTCTGTGTCCTTGCCTTGCAAACTGGAAAGAGATGGTGTTTCTGCCTCTCCAGGGTCATCTTTGCTCTGGGAATTTCCATGACATTCATTAACATCCCCGTGGAGTGGTTTTCCATCGGATTTGACTGGACTTGGATGTTGCTCTTTGGAGACATTCGACAAGGCATTTTCTATGCCATGCTCCTGTCATTTTGGATCATCTTCTGTGGGGAGCACATGATGGTGGGTACGACACAGAAGGGAAGGTAGTTTCCAGCCCCACTTGCAGTAATACCTGGCAACTCCCTTGTACTTACTGAGTGTTGGAAACAATGCTGTGGGGACTTGCTCCAGGCGAGAGGACTTCAGGCTAACTTGCTTTTCCTTTTTCTCCTCCTCCTCCCCACCTCTTGACCCTCCGATTAGGACCAGAACGAGCGGAATCGTCTCTCAGGGTACTGGAAGCAGGTTGGACCCATAGCTGTTGGCTCCTTCTGCCTTTTCATCTTTGACATGTGCGAGAGGTAGGTGCAGCGCTGCTCCTAAGGCGAGCCTTCCCCATGCACCTCCTGCAGCAGGGACCAGCGGTTTAACCCCCGTGGCTGGATGCACAGCTCCATCTCATGAAGTGAGGAGAGGCTCCTATGAGTGCACTGAAGCATGCTGGTGTTTCCCAGCAGCGTATCTTGTCCCATAGGGCCGTAAAGAAACGCCTCCCACCTTGTCTCCTCCTTGCCTGCACAGGAAAGCAGTGTGGCTGGCTCTTTCCAGGCTGCAGAGCAGGTGTGGGGCTCTCTGAACTTGTTGGCTTCTGTGGCAGCTTCGTGTTTTCTCTCCTCTTTGCAGGGGAGTGCAGCTGAAGAACCCCTTCTATAGCATCTGGACCACCGAAGTTGGCACAGAGCTAGCTGTATCCTTCCACCCAGCTCGGGGCAGGCTAGGTCTGTGTTGGTAGGAGAGAGAGGTGTTCCCCTCCTGCCCGATACCTGCAAGTTGTGGGGAAACCCTCCTCCTTTTGGCAGGCTGGGGCTTGTGAGGTGGGGCTCAGGTGCTGCGGGAGATGCCGGTGTCATTTGGAAGAGGCAGTCCTGGCAGGTTTGGTGCTGGGTACCGCCAGGGACTGGTGCTGTGCTTGGGGAAGTCACTGGAGAACTGAACTTCTCAAGATGTCTGAGATTTGGGGGGAAGCACCGGGGGATTTAGGTCCCAGGTGTCATCACAGTAACCCCAGAGCCAGTGCTGCTCCAGCAGTGCCTGCTCTGCTTTCTCCCCCAGCCCCAGCTACAATGGCATCTGCTCCAAGGCCCTCCGTTTGCTGCCATCACTCGGGCACGCATTGCTGAGGCACTTCTATGAATTGCTCTTTCAGGCTGCCAGGTCCCGCTGGGAAGGGCTTGCTTTCACTGCCATTAATTTTGATTACTGGGCTGAGATAAGCTAATGCAATTAGTCCCCCTTCTGCAGCATCCAGCCCTCTTGTAGGAGCCTCTCTGAAGATCGTGCTGGTTGGCGACGGTTTCCCAAATCTCCTCTGCAGATTTCAAATGGGCAGGAGTTTCGGCGGGTTATCCCTCCTCACCGCCATGCCGAGCGCTGGGGGACATCAGAGCCCGTGCTCCCCACTGAGCCAGGGGGCTCACCCAGCGCTGCCACGCTCGCGAGCAGGCTGCTGTCCTGAGTGATTGCTGCCTGCTAGAAGTTTAATTATGATCTTTGGGATGATATTAAAATAAGTGAATTGCCTGAATAATGTTTTCTATTACTTCTGTTTAGCTCATACCATTTTCACTTAACTTGCACTGCCCAGATGGCCTTTATTATAGTTGCGGGAATCTGCTTGTGTCTCTATTTTCTCTTCCTGTGTTTTATGGTCTTCCAAGTGTTCAGAAACATCAGTGGAAAGCAGTCAAGCCTCCCAGCCATGAGCAAGGCTCGCCGCCTTCATTACGAGGTAACGTCCCTCCTTGTTGCACAGATTCTTTCTTTTTAAAATGCATTTTTGACCTTGAAGTCTATACTGAGACCTTCTCTATCCATATAGTCCTGAATTAGAAGATCTGATCTGTATTGGCTTTCTTGTGTTGCTCAAATCCCCTAAAATGCCTTTTTGTTTGACTGTTGTGAAGTTTCTTCTTTATTTGGGTCTTTAGGCCCAATGAAGTGTTTTAAGCTGTCAGGAGGGTATGTAAGCTAGGTCTCCCAGCTTACTGAACAGTGTTGGAGGATAGAAGAAAATTGGCCAAACTATCATTTAAATTACTATGGAGTGTAAGGCCATCAGCTCCCTGCACCTCCATTTCTCCTTCTGTAATATTAATGATTGTGTTTAATGGAAAGCGTTGCTAAGACCACCCTGTTTTTCCATGGCGTGAATTCAGATTTTTGGGGTTATCTTTTCTTCACCAAGTTGCAGGAGGGAAACTGTCCCACTAGGATCAAAATGCGACATGTTCAGCTCATTATCCCCAGTTTTAGCCCATGATTTTGTATGTTGTTTCTGTCCTAGCTGTCTTTATCCGCTGCAAAATGCGAGGAGCTCACTTTAAGTTCTTAAGCTGAGAGCGCCTGTTGTTTCCATGGGTGTGTAAATGTTTATCACCAATGTTGTTCTGTTAAATGGTGGTCACTTCTGATTTAAACAGGCCAGTTATCACCCATCAGGAATGCACATTAAAAAATAGAAAACCGGACTTGTGAGAATTTGAACAAGATATTGAGCATTTTTTCCATCTTTCCCTTTAGCAAGAGGCACAGGACTTCAGTTCGTATTGTAGAGCTGCTGCAGCTGTGCTCTACATACAAACATCTAGCAAGCATGAATCTGCTCTGGAAGAGTTAAATTAATAGTCATTTGTTGTCGCAGTGTGGCATAGTCATTACGCAGACACTGACATTTCCACCAAAATTCCAGAAACAGGTTAAAAAAAACACAGAGAAACAAAACCAAAAGAATTTGTAAGTAAAAATGTAAAACTAGTGAAAGCAATTATGGTATGCAGTCAGGTTCCCAACCAAGTGATCTTGAGCCATAGTTTGTCTTATAATCTACATTCTTCCGTAATAGCCAGCGTAGTTTTGACAAGTGTTGAGAATCACTGCAGTTTCCAGACAGACAGACTGTGGAGGTGAGGATTAGTCTGGTGCCAGTACCTGTGCTGTAGCTTGCTAAGCCGTGCAAGCTCTCCACAGATGTTTGTTTAAGAAAAGCTATGAGCTATCAGGCTGGCTGGTGGATGAAACCCACGGCTTACACTGACATGCCTCCTCTTCCACAGTAACTCTCGGTAAATCAGTCACAAAAGCAAATGTAATGGAAAGCCAGAGCTGTCCAGACATGCACACCCCACTCGGAGCATCCGGGAGGAACATAGACGTGTGGGGAGCGGAGAATATGGGCTGTCGTGAACACGGCGCAGAGGAGTGGGCGGAGGTTGTTTTGCTTTGGGGTTTTGTGGGTTGGACCCTTTTTTTTCTTTGCCCTTTTTTTTTTTTTTTAACGTGTGTCTTGTATATGCTAAAAACAAAAATGGGTTTTGTGGATTCTGTTAATGTGACCAGTGACATTTCTCTCTAAACAGGGGCTGATTTTTAGGTTCAAGTTCCTGATGCTTATTACCCTGGCTTGTGCAGCGATGACAGTCATCTTCTTCATTGTGAGCCAGGTGAGTGACGAAACTCAGCTCTGTCTGAGAACATCAGCCTCCGATTCCCTAGCCGCTAACGACGTCAGCTCACTTGCTGTTCAGACAAGGCACCTCTATTATAAGCAGATTTGATAATAAGTTGCTTTTTAAGAAGTTGTTTTCATTTCTTTGAAGCACTGCCATAAAATTGCTTAGGCTGAAGCCTTCACACAGGCCTTTGGCTCACGGTAAGGTTTGGGGCTGTGCTGTTTGAAATATCAGCCAACACGTTCTAGTCATTTCTGAGAACTCAGCAAGAGGAAAAATGTTCTGTTCACATTGAAAGAATCCAGTGGCTTTGTATGCCTACAGAGAAATAACAGAATTCAATCTTCCCTGGGTTGACTTTGCAACCCTGCTGTTTCCAACAGTATCTATACCTATTTATTCTGGGCTACGATGCAGTCTCTCTGTACAAATGAGCTTATATTGCTACTTAAATGTGCTTTGATGGTTTACTCCAAGTGACTTTTAAGATTGCACCTGTTTCAAAGATGTCATTTCTGGTTGTTCCTAAGCATAGCCAGCTTGTAGCTCCACGAGAGCCGTGGGTATAGCCTCGCAAGTCCAGTATTACAGAATTATGGGTGCAGGAGCAGTTTCTCCCTCACTGCACCACTTATGCTTTTGGATATGTGGTGCGTCCCAATGCAAAATACAGCAGCAGATGATTTTGCTCATAGAAATCTGTTAGACTGAAGCAATGGTTTGAGAAATGTCAGTTGGCAATTTGATTCTTCATTGAGTGCTGATGACCATAACCATCACTGTGTATGGGCATAGTGCAAACAATCTTGTCCAGCTGGTCTTTTCAAGCTAGTTTAGCTTTCGTCTTTCCCCCTTATGTCTTTTCTTTAATGGAAAGCCAACATTTCAGCATGAACAGTCTGCATATCTTCAAGTAATATTAATATTGATGATTCAAGTAATATTAATATTGATATTTTCGTAAATCTTGACAAATCCCTGCATGTCTAAGGCTGATGCTGTCAGCCTAGGCCCCTCTCGTAAGACAGAAACAGCAAGAAGGCACATTAGCTCTTCGCATTATTCATGCTGGTTTTCCTTCTATAAAAGGTCTATTTATAGAAGTCTAATGTTTTCAGATGTAGCTAGTTGTCTCCTAGGTACTGCCCTTCATGTGGCAATCTTTGCTGAACACATCGGTTACAGCAGGGATGTATTGCAGGATGTGAGAAATTGTCACATTTAAGAATGGTAAATCAAAGTTAAAGAATTCCTGGTGCAATCATTTTGTAAGGATCATTTTTTTCCTGCAGATTAAGGCTAAAGAGGAGAATCCTAGCCTGACTTCTGCATCACTGAATCTGTTATACCCCATTTACTCGATCCTGTTGAATTGACACTGTTCTTGTTGATTTACTCTATCTTAGTGCTTTAGGGGGTCGCTTCTGTATTTTTACAGAATTTGGTCTTAACTGACCGGCCCGTGCGTGTCTGCTTTCTCCTGGGCAGGTGACCGAAGGCCACTGGAAGTGGGGGGACATAACGATACAAGTGAACAGCGCCTTCTTCACCGGCATCTATGGGATGTGGAACCTCTACGTCTTTGCCCTGATGTTCCTGTATGCGCCGTCGCACAAGAATTACGGTGAAGACCAGTCGAACGGTAAATGCATCTAAGTGATCTGAAGGCTGCCATGGGAAGAAAGCGATATAAACTGGGTGATACCCTTTGTGCATTTTTTTTTTTTTTGGCCAAAGTACACGTTCAGCACATTGAAATGTTATGCAAATGATGGTTTGGTTTTCCTAGCAGACATTTTAATTAATGACTAGGTTAGACAGGTTTGAGTATTTAGCAAAGGCTGTCTAAAACCTTCTAGATGGTTTTTGTACTTTTTAGCATTGCCCAGTTGTAATTGTGTAGCTCAAATGGAGGGATGAGGAATGGAGAAAATAAAAATCTGGGCAAGTGGAGAATGGCAATGCTGTTGGTTTCCTTTATCAGCAGTCTTCAGTAGCACAGAAATCGTCCTTTACTGATATGCTTGTATTTAAATAACTGTAAACAAAAGCATTTATAGAAATGTTGCATAGTCCATAGCTCAGATAGCTCCTGAGAGCCTGGAGGGAATAAAATGAATCTTTTGCTTTCTAATTGTCAAATATTTATTGTGAGACCAGGCTAACAAAATAACTTTCTCAGGTGACCTGGGAGTAAACAGTGGGGAAGAGCTTCAGCTCACCACCACCATCACCCACGTGGATGGGCCGACGGAGGTTTATAAGCTGGCTCGCAAGGAGGCTCAGGAGTAATGCTGAGATGGCCTCAGCTGGGACCCAGGCCAGGGTGGAGAGCAGAGGACAACACAACGCCCTCTGGGAGGAGATCTCTCTGACCTAACTTGCTTCTCGAGCACCCCGTATCTAGTGTGTTTTCACAGAGCAATGACACCGAGTGGAACATTTGTAAACTCTTTAATATGGTGTAGTTATTTCTGGGGGGAGGGATATGTATATTGTGTTACACTCAAGCACGTAAAAACCTGCTAGAAAAGCCTTAAGGTTGCAAAGTCACACATTCAAAAGTTAGGAAGGGGCAGAGCTGACATTGGGCAGTTTTTATTTGGCTACTGTGTGCCTGTGCATAAAGGTGGTGCAGGGAGCTCAGTCAGTGAGCACGTGTTCAGTACTTCAAGTTTTCTTGTGTGCAAGTTTAAACAATGTGTTGGTTGGGGGCGGGAGGAACTAAAGCCTCATTTTAAAAACATTTAATTCCATGATCTGTAATTGTATTGAACCTTGTTTGAGGTCTTTAGTACAGCCCTGCAACTCTGCAGCAAACCTCTGTCACTTGATTGAAACACAGCTGGGGAAGGGAGTAGACTGAGTGTAATACATAAGATTTTAGTAGAAGCAGCAACATGCTTTCTCAGTAGGTTTTACAGCTGTTTGTTAAATATAGGGGAATGTAAAAACTGGATGCCTGAGCTGAGTTGCAGGAGAAAGGAGTGCTCCTGTCCCGAGTTCCCAGAGGTACTGGTCCTGCAGCCAGCTCCTGCCTATTCTCAGCCCCTCTGTCTTCCCTTGCTTTTGTTGTCCTCCTCCATCTTACTTTTTTGTTACGTCTCCTTCATTTTTATGCTGCTTATGTGCCATGGAGAGAAGAGAAAGGCCACAGGAGGGACGGTGCATTCTCAGTTCCCGTGCTTGTGAGCTGGGCAGAGGACGCCGGGCAATCCCACTCCTCCTTGCACTGCTGGGGTGGAGCATGCTTGGCAGAGCTGGATTCTTCCAGGAATTATCAGACTTGAAAAAAATCCTCTTGTCACACACTAATGTGGATATTTGCTTTTCAGAGCAAAAGCAGACGATGAGGTCGCTCACCCCCATGCTGTGCCTGGGTGGATCTGGCTGTGAGACTGTTGGCAGTGCGAGGGGACTGGGAACTGATCTGGGGTGGAGGCTTAAACTGGACCGTGCTGGGGACCAGTTAAGAGAAGTGTTAATGGCGTGTGCGGGAAGAAGCATGGCCAGAAGGGTCTCTGCTGCTCAGGGCACACAGTCCAGGGCCTGGAGGATCCAGAGGGCCCCGTTAGCTGGCACTAAATGTCTGTCTAGCTAACACAGTAAATGTCTGTGTTAACTGCTAGTAACATGTAACTCAACCTCCCAGTTTTGTCCCTAAAAGATAAGAATCTGCTAATGCTGTCTGTTGCTGAAGGGTCAGAGATGAGGGAGAGAAGGGAAGTTTCCAAAGCCGCTGACAGGCAGTCATTGCGGGTACCGGTAGAAGCACTGTCCTGGAAAAAGGGACACGTTGTCCTTGGATTCTTAAAACTTCTGAAATTACATATCAATTGTTAGAGTATTAAGGCTGCAAAATGAAAGTATAATTGGGAAATACCAGAAGTGAGATCACCTATGAAACCTTAATCCATCTCTAGCCAATGTATGCATTATGACATGCAATTAAAGCCCATCGCATGCTGGCTTTACTGTCACATTCAGGTTTGTACGTGAGTTTGGGGCTCTGGGCAGGAGTTGAGGCTATGCACCTAGGGCTCTGGTTTGCACCAGGAGGTGCTGGTTCCTCATGATTCCCACCCCAGCAAACAGCTCGTACTCAGTGATGCCCGTCCCTGGCTGCCCTGTACACTCCTGTGCACCCACCCTGCTGTTTGCATGGGGCTGCAGCTCCAGAAGGGCAGCTCAGTTCAGCTCTAACCATCCCTGTCACCATTTCAAGCATGTTAGTAACCAAATACAGTACCAACTTTCCTTGCCTTTTGCTTTCCCTTCCCCATGTTTCTTGAGACAAGTCAGTACTTCAGCTGGGGTGAGGCATTCAAATAATTCGTCCTTATTTTCCCAATCGACCAAGGAATGGGGCCAGAAGGCTAGCGACTGCCCCTCGGCTGCATGCAGGGCTGGCTGGGCACCCCATCTCCTCACCAGCCTTTTCCCAGAAGGGATTTCTCACTGGGGCTGCTGACTGTGCCAAATGAATCGCACCAGGAGATGCTGGGCTGTTATGATCCCAGTAAGAACGGCACTCTGTAAAGTAGCATTTAAAATACCATTTATTAGAGCTCAACACTATGAAGAAAGAGAGGGTAGTGTAGATAATCTTGCATCCTTTTTGTTGCTGGAACCCCAAGTTCCCAACGGGTCTCTAATCAGGGTGCAGCACACCGGGCAGACCCCATCTGCAGAAGGGCTGCTCCGTTTTTGTTAATTGGAGCTACTATAGGATTTTCTTAAAAGAAAGCAATTCTGTTCATTGTTCTGTTTGCCCTCACCAGGATCCCCAGCTCCCCTGCCCCTGGGCAGTGTCTCAGCCGGGATGCAGGGTCAGAGCCGAAGAACGCTGAATGCATTGCTCTGGGTGAAGTCCCTTGTGTGCTGCTATGTCTGAGCACGTGAAATCACTGTAGCATAGAAAGTGCTGAACACTACTTCAGGAGGTGTGATTTTGGATACTTGAACTGGAACACTAATAATTTTTTATAAGTTTGGGGACTTTTTTGTAAACTGGGATGACAATGTCCCTGTACTGAAAGGAAATGTGGTTTAAAAGAAAAAAAAATAAAAAAGAAAAAGAAGGGGGCACACTTACTGTATGTGGAATAAGTGCTGGGACTGCACCTTCAACATGGATGGCAAAATGTAACTTGTAAGCAATTTACATAAGGAAAATAAGTGCTAATAAGTCCAAGCAATGTTCCTACTTGCAGTAGTTGTTCAATTACAAAGTGAATTAAATTAACGCACATCACCGTAACTCTGGCATGTTCCTGGCTGAGTGCTCGACTTTGCAACTTTAACATCCTTTTTTACGTTGGGTTCTTACGTGATATTTATGTTGTTCCGATAGATGTGTCCATGGTTTCTTTTACAGCTTAGTATAGCGTTGCATTTTGTAAAGGCTCCTTACAACTGGGGAATTGCAGCTTTAAAACCAAATTTTGTGTCAAACACTAACAATTTGTTTACGGGGCGGGTGTATGTATGTGTGCGTGCGTGTGTGTGTGTGTGTGGTTTTTTATTTCTTAATTCCTAAGCCCTACTCATACGTCTCAAAAATAGTCCCTGGGTCTTATTAAAATATATCCTTTTTTGTTTAGGTTGAGTTCAGTTTTTACAGAATGCTTTAAGCAACCTGGAAAACGTGTAGTTTTGTTAGTTTAAATAAAAAACACAATATTGTGGATTTGTCATCGGCCTGGTTCACTGACTGAGAAATCATAGCTCTTCTGCTGTGATCTTGTTTGCTTTTATTTGATCTTCTACTTCAGGCAGTTGCAAGTCGCACAACTTGTTGCTGGGGAAAACGGTTGACTCACTTGGACAATTTTCTCCAGCATCTCTCTCCAAATACTTTGTGGTGCAGAAACATGGTACGTCAATGCTAATGGCTTTTTGACCTTTAAAACCTTTGATTTAGGACTAATTGTTAGCAGAGCCATTTCTGCCTTGTCTCTGGAGCATTGGTTGCAGCTACTGCCGCAGAGGTTACAGCTCCCCTTGCCCACAGGACCGGGGTGTTGAGCCCCCCCGTTCCCACCTGCCCCAGGCAGCTGAAGTCTGCTCCCATGGCAGGGCCCAACCGTTGGGTTTTCCTTCGGGCTCTGTCCCCTGGACCTGCCTGTCCCTGCTTGCCAGCCCCAGAGTTGTCACAGCTTTGCTGTGAACTTTGCGTGTTGGCTATTACCCCACTTGTGATATCAGTTTGGGTGGCAGCCTCCATCTGCTGCCGTATTCGAAGGCGCTGCCACCCGCTGCTCGGAGCCTGCCTCTCCCCTACGTTGTCTTTCTGTCTATTATCCAGGAAAACAAAAGGTTTCCCAGGACTTGCACTTAAGCAGTAATGGAAAATTTGATGACAACAGATGAAGTTCAATATCAACAGCTTGAAGTCCCATTGCAATAGGGGCTGCCTTGATAAAATGGTACATGAGAGGGGAACTGGGGTGCTGAGTTTTCGGCAGAGCCCATGGCTCCATTTCTGCTGCAGCCTGTGTTGGCTACAGCCTCTCTGCCATGGCAAGGAACTAGGGCTGCTCAAAGACAAACTAGAGGTAGTACAGCACTTTCAGGATCTAATGAATTTCAAAAGAGCAAATTCATGAATTTTAAATAACTGTAAAACCACTGCCACCCTCCCACGCGGCTTCTCTTCCCAGGTTTCCTATTTAGGCTCTTTGCTGGCTGGGGCGCAGCCCTGCCCTGGCAGGCCTTTGCTGCCCTCTGCTGCCAGCTGAACAGGACTTTCACCCAGATTAAAAAAAATTAAATCCTTCACCTCCTAAAAATGTGAGAAATTTGCTTATGTGTAGAAGTTCCTATTACCTGCAAAGTGCTGCTCAGGGTCAGAGCTGTCCCAGGAACTTCGTGCTTCTGTACCGCCAGGCAGGGACACAGTGAGAACTGGAGAAGAATGGGAAAATCTACCTGAGAGTTTCTTAAGAGGCCATCTGGTGTTGCTATGAGCAGCCAAAGTTAGTAGGAGAAGGGAAATGGGTTACAGTAGACCTTTGTGGGTGAGCTGGGGACCACAGTTCTTGAGGTCAGCAAATGGACTTCGGTTGGAACAGTTCGACTGTTTTTCTTATTAGACCACTTTCTGCGTTTTCTTAGGAGAAGTCTGGGACCAGAGTCTCTCTCTGCTCTAAAACTGGTTTGTGACTGAAGGAGCTGCAGCAGACTCCAACGCAGCCTTGTCTGCCGTTCCTTTGCTCCCAGCCATGCCCGTGCGAGGTGAGGTGTGAGCGTGCAGCGCTGGCTGATCTGCCTTCAGACAGAAACTTCAGCGTGGGGTGATGGCAATGCCCGGAGCTCCCTTTGCTCCCTCCCTCCTGGGGGACCCATCGACAGCAAAGGAGCCACGAGAAGTCTGTGCTGTGATACTTGCAACGATGTTCTGGGAGGCACTGGGGGAACTGGGCATGTGACCCCAATGCTCATCCCTCTGAAAGGGTACGTTAGATCTAGGGGAAGGCTCAGGGAAGGGTGACAAAAACAACTACAGGTTATATGGCTGTGTCTCACCGCATGCCTGCTGGCCACAAGCTCCAGCAGCAAGGCTTGTGGGACAGATCTGGCCTGTGTTTTCCAACTTAAAAATGGAAGAAGCAACTTGTGACTGGCGGGGTTTGAGTGTCCCAGCAGTGGCCTGACATTGTCCCCGGGCCTGATGGTGCTGATGAGCACTGGCTGGGGAGAGGGAGGTGCTGGTATTTTCTCCTTGTCCCTTTTAAACCTGCTGCCAGCAGTCCCCAGACGATTAGTATGTTGTAGGACACTGAAACACGTCCCCTCTCCCACCACAAATCCTGTAGCCCAAGGCTATTGTATGGGATTTCATGATGATGAAAATAAAGCATTGGCTGTATTGCCGGGGAAAGAATTGCAGGAGACTGAACTGTAGGAGATGAGATGTACAGAGCTGGGGACTGCTGCTCACGTCCGCTCCGGTTCTTGTAAATGACTGTCACTCCTGCTCTCAAAGATGAGACATAGTTGGTGTATTTTTATTGGGGTAAAATAAGCAATAAGCAGCAACAGATTTATTTTTGGAAGGATTTTGCTCTGTGGTTGGCACACAGATATGTGTCATGGGTCTGCTTTCCTACTTAGCTGACATTACACTGTACAAGAGCTGATGGCTCTTTGAGATTTTCCCCTGTCACAGACTATTATAGGAAATCAATACACGCTTCAGGCTTTAGATCTAGAGTTTTAAATAAAGCACAAGATCTTATCATGGCTATAATTGTTGGCACCTTCTGCCTCTCCATCTCTGACATGTGTAAGAGGTAAGTCTGAAGCTGGTGCTGCACAGGGCGAGCCTTCCCCAAGCAGGGGCAGAGGCTCAGCTGCCTCCGGCTGCCAGTGCTGCTCCAGCAGTGCCTGCTCTGCTTCCCGCCCAGCCCCAGCTGTGATGGCATCTGCTTCAGGGCCCTCCGTTTGCTGCTATTACTTGGATAGGTGTTGCCGAGGCATTTCCATGAATTGCTCTTTCAGGTCCCGCTGGAAGGGCTTGCTTTCACTGCCATTAATTTTGATTACTGGGCTGAGATAAGCTAATGCAATTAGTCCCCCATCTGTGGCATCCAGCCCTCTTGCAGGAGCCTCTCTGAAGATCGTGCTGGTTGGCGACGGCTTCCCAAATCTCCTCTGCAGATTTCAATCGGGCAAGCATTTTGGTGTGTTATCCCTCCTCGCTGCCATGCCGAGCGCTGGGGGACATCAGAGCCCGTGCTCCCCACTCACTCGTGGGCAGGCTGCAGGTCAGGTGTTTGTTTCTGACTCAGCTGAGCTGAGGTGTGATGGCTTCATGCAGTGAATTCCTTGCTGAAACTGTTTAAATATTGTCCTATCCTTTGGCTGTTTCATTATTTCAAGTCAAGGAAAGTTTATATCCATTATAATAGCAGGCATTTGTGTTTTCTTCTATTTTTTTCCCTCCTTGTTTTGTTGTGCTTAAAGCCCTCCAGAGTTTCCAGAGGAAGGGCACTCTTCCAGGTACAGACGAGGCTCACTCATGAGATGGATGTTATGTCTCAAAAACAGATAAGCCACTCTGGAACATTTTCTAATAAATATCTTACAGGCTAAACTGCACTCCTAAGTGTTGGCATTACTGTTAAGAGACATCCTTTCTGATAAGCAGTATGCACCAGTGACACACATCCTCTGGTTTAATAATAATTTATGTAATTCCAGAGGAAAATCCTTTTTCTGCCTTCAGCTGCTGTCTCGTACCTCTCCATAGGAATCAATGACATTCAAAGCAATATTAAGAAGATGGCTGCTCTGGCTGTGAATATCAAGCTCCGTCTCCCACAAGAAAAGGAAAGCCTTGGTGGGGTCCAGAGGAAAAGCAGTGGAAATGGAGCACAGTGAGGACAAAGCAGGATGGGTGCTGATCCCTGACCCTTGGGGTGCTGTGCTTGCTGCTGTACCCCAGGTCACTTGGACATCCCCCAGCAAGACCCTGAGGGCCTTCGGGAGCTGTTAGTGCTGTCCCGTGCCTCAGTGGTACCCAAAAGCTGGATATTTTAACTTCAGGAGGTCAGAACTGGAGTTCACAGAACTTCCTCTGTAGCCTTATAGGAAGTAAAATACATCGGTTTCTAATTGGGAATTGCCCGAAGCACGTGTTTTCTGGCCCGGTTTCAGCCTGGCTGCTGCTCGCTGTTGCGGTCTGGGTAAGGACAGGTTGTGTGGGAATCCACATGTGAGCTGAGGGCTGTCAAACCTTAAATGAAACCTGTTTCTGGGGTGCCCCATCCATGCTCAGGTACAAGCACCCCTCACTCATCCTCCCTGCCAGGAGCAAGTGTGGGGGAGGCAGCGGCGGGGGCTGTATGTGTGGGCCTAAAGCAAGGCTCTCCCTCCATCCCGAAAACATCGACCTGCATGATTTCAGCCATGTAGCTCCTGGACAAAGTTAAGAGCAGACCCTGCAGACTCCCTCCTCTCTAAAGGAAACCAATGAAGTTTGGTGGGGTGTCCCCCATGCTTGCTAAGCAATGGGAAAGGGGGATTTACCACCCTAAACATGGACAGAAAAGCAGTGAGGAGCTTGGTAGCCCGGGAAAGTACATTCTTGTGCAATCCCTGCAAGTCCCAAGGGAGTCCTGACACAACAGAAACAATCTCTGGCAAAATCACTACAGAAGAGGGATCTGACCATCTTCACCCGTCCCTTCTGCGGTTCCCCACCACTGTCCTGCACCAGCTTGCAGCTCCAGGCGTTCCCCGGGCAGTTTTCCAGAGCAGCAGCAGGAGCAGGCAAAGCAGCACAGGGTGCCCCTCCCCCTGCTTCCTCTGTGCTCTGCCTTCCCGGGGGGCTCTCACGAACAGCTGATTTCCATTTAAAACTTCCATTTAAAATTTCTCTGGTTGTTGTCAGCTCCAGCCAAAGCAAATCCTGACTGACAGCGAGGCATTGAGCCAGCATCTCGTGGCCATGTCCCTCCTGGATCGGTCTGTCCCACCCAAGACAGAGGTATTGCACAGGACATGTCTCTCTCCTGTCCATCCTTTCTCCAAGGAGGTTGGAGACCTTCCCACTCTTTTGCCTCTGCTAAGTCGACTCACAGCTTCTTTCCTACTGTACTCCCTCAAGAAGAGTCAGAAATCCTTCCCCGAACACAGGAGCCCATTGGCTTTTCATATCACCTTACTTATCAAACAAATCCCTCTTGGAAAG